AAAAATACCCCACGTTGTGGGAAAAACCCGTACACACACACACACACACATCATGTCTTTCCATCCTTGCAAGGACTTTCCATTGATTTCTATAACCTCACCATGAAACTTACCCTAAACCTAGCCCATAAATCTAACATCCCACTCAGTTCACACATTAGTACTAAACCTAACACCCAACCCAAAAATGGCATTTGAACCGTTGGGGCAATGGCTTTAAAGGAACAGTGGGTCCTCACAAACTAGTGTATTTTGTAAAAATGGGGCCTTTCAATGTAACAAATGCGACAACACTCAAGTTAGTCACATGATCCCACTGATTGTGACACTCCATATTGTAGCTTGATATTGCACATTTTATACAAACAGGGCCACTTTATATATATATTTCCTTACTTAACTGTCAAACTATTGTGCAGATCAGCTCAGACTGCTTGTTTGTCCAGTGTGTTGTTGSTATAAATTTAACTGTAATGAATTACTGCGGTCAAGTAAAAAATGTGAAAAAATATTTTTTTAAAAATCAATTGAGTCAATTRATGTTGAGACTGAATGACAGGGAGCAGAGGTCACACAGATAAAGAGGCGAAGAAAAGGCAGGATGGAGGAAAGTTTCAGGAGTGATTTGTGGTTAAAGAGTGGCAGGATGGAAAAGTAATAAGAGCAGCTGTGTTGTATGGTTTAGAGACAGTGGCACTGACAAAAAGACAAGAGACAGAACTGGAAGTGGCASAGCTAAAAATGTTGAGGTTCTTGTGAGATGGGTATTTTTGTCAGCAGGGTGTTCTAGAGCAGTGGTTCCCAAACCTTTCAGCTGTTGACCCAAAAAATACCAGAAGCAGAGACCTGAGCCCCCAGCTGTTGTCGGCTGATAAATATTGTTCATAAACAAGAGCATATAACATTATTTATGATGTTATTTTTGTCCATAAGCACACTAATCTTATTATTTTGTAACAACAAAGGCAAAAAAGGTTGTTGGTTGTCATTCTTTAGTGTAATTAATTCAGAAAGTATTTTCAGGACCTCACCTTGATGTCTCAGGGCCCCACTGTGGGTCCCGACCCCAACTTTGGGAACCACTGTTCTAGAGGAAAAGGACATAAGAAAGGCTGAATATGTGGATGCAGATAGAGAGAAGATGGAGGAGGATGACTCACAGTGATGACCTCTGAAGCTGAAAGACAAAGATGTTTATAACTATAGGTTTATTTACAAAAACTCACCACCATAATTAATTACAATATTCCCATTATAGATGATTTATAATGTTATTTCCTGTTTTTTTTATTTCAGGAGCTTTATCTAAATGTTTGTATCTTAGCAGCAGCATCTGACAGAAACCTTTCTTCTGGCGGTTTTGAGCTGTTAGCAGACAAACTGAATGCAGTCAGGTGGTTCCTCCTGAGGTGACAGCACAGAACTGGTTCCCCTGGTCAGGTATGCTACAGTCGACTGAACAGCCTGAGGGTGGAGGGGTGGGCTCAACAGAAGTCTTTAAGGTCCAGCCCCACATTCCTAACGTCTCTTTGGACTATAGAACGTAGAGCCCCAACAGTTCAGCTCCTCCTCCTCCTCCTCCTCCTCCTCCTGCCTGTGTGTGTTTGTTTTGCGGCTCTGAAAGTGGAAGAGCGATCTGACAGGAACGTACCATTCTGCAGCCACAGGGGAAGTCGTTCAGCAGAGCGAGGAGAAGCTGCAGTCAGTTTTTAGAGTTACAAGCTCTCCTCCTTCCCCTCTCAGACTCGGTTCTCGTGTCTGTGGCCTGCTCCGAGGTGGAGGGGGTTCAGAGGAGGAGAGAGAGAGGAGCGTTTGAGAAGCCAGCTGATCAGAGCTGAGGTATTCTGCCACAGAGGGGAGAGTCGGTGTGACTGAAAAAAACTGAAGGGAGGACGGAGAAAGCAGCTCCCCTGATCGAGGAACAGAGTGTTCAGTGAAGAAGAGGATGCCTCCTTCCTCTCATGTGAAACTGAGAACTGATGGAAAGATGTGAGAGCAGGGTGGAGGTCTGAGGAAGAGTCTCACGGTTAAAAAGGACCAACCCTCGGCTGCTGGTGAGTCGACGGAAGGTGGGAGAACTTGAGGGAGCGATGTCTTGGCTCTCACCGGTGTCGTGGGCCAAATGGACTTGGACGGCCGTGCGAGGAGGAGAYGGAGAGGAGGATGAGGAGGAGCAAGAGGCCAGKGAGGAAAGGGAGCAATATGGGAGGAGAGAAGAGGAGGAGGAGGATAGATCTCAAAGCTGCAGGTAAAGGAGCAGAGTGATTCTCTCTCTGCTCATGAAGGAGGTTGTTGTTGTTTTTTTTCCTTTAATTTATTTTACACATTTCAGGTTGAGAGATGAGAGAGGAGCTGATGTCATATGTGATCCTTAAATGTTCATCATCTTCATTTCCAACACATTCTCCCCTGAAAAGAGCAACATGACGTGTTTGAGTCATCAGGACCTCTCTGCTCCTCATGTCTGCTCTGATAACAGTTTTATCTTCATCTCTGTTCCACGGTGACACAAACACAACTTGTTGTTGCTGGTTTCTTTCTGAAACCTTCCACGCAGGCTGCTRACAGACACCATATCTGTTTCCGGCATCGACATATTGATCTGAACCGTCTTGTTGTTTTAAAATGATTACATCAAACCGATTCGTTTGAAGGTAGCCGCTTTAAAGCTGAAGTTGCAGACGAGTTTTGAACAGGTTRGGTACAGACAGATGTAGAAAAGTGTAGCTATTTTTTTTATAACACCACATTGTTCTTAGAGTGTAACAGGAAATAGTAGGTTGTCCTACATCTACTTCCCCTTCCTCTGGATAAGTTTGACTTCATCTTTGTTTCTGCTGCTCTGGTTCAGATACAAGCTGCATGATAATGTTATGACAATGTGCAATGATTTAATGCAGATTATTAGTTATGTAGTGCTGCTGAAACTGACTATATCAACACAAAAAAAACTGACTTTGATCTTTACTTCTCAATTTTAAAACTAAACAGTTTTCTGTTTTTGGAAAACTTAAAAAAACACATCTGAATGTTAGTCTTAGTTTGGCCTGGATTTGTGATTAAGGAGAAGAACAGGAACATGTTGTGATTTTATGATTTATTGCTGTGTTTTGCTCTCGTTGCAGTGCGGAGGGCCAGTTGTAATTAACTTCAACGTTTTTTGTTGAACTTTGATCAAACGTGAAACATCACACTCCTCGTCTCATTGCTACAGCTGAGCACTGCTAACAAACAATAACTGAGCTCTACTTGGTATCTCCTGCATAGGAACAGCATTTTTAACACGTCCTTTTATTAACTTTGAAAGGTACTACGTGTACGACTGGCTAAATGTGAAATAAATAATACTAAAATAGTACTAAAAGTAAAAGTAAGAGAGTTTTACTCAGTGTTGAGTAACCAACAGGGAATTCTCATGCATAATCAACATACATTATGGGAGATGTAGTTCATGGTTAGTTTATTGTTTTAGTTTACGCAGGACCTTTTGGTGGGCCGGATGGGAGTCACCCACGGGCCGCATCAGGCCGTGTATTTGACACATGGGCATTAAAGTCTGTAACTTTTCCCAGTGATGTTTCAGGTTTCTCTCTTTTGAGCATCAGTAATTTTTGTAAATTTGCTGCTCTAAGCAGAGATGTGATGTAACTAAGTACTTTTACTCAACTTCTGTGTGTACAAATGGAAAGTCTACTTTTTATGTCCTTGTTTGTTTACTCCATTACATTTCTTTTTGTTTGATAAAAAATTATAATCTTGCAAATTGTTATTTTATTTATTTATTTATTTATTTATTTATTTATTTATTTATTTATTTATTT